TGAATCGGAGCTCGCATCAACGCGTAGTAAAAGACAGGTTCACTTTTCTGAGGAAATTCAAACCGCTTGTTCAGTGATAGTGCCAAAATGGGACCACAAAGAGAGTCTGAAAAAGTCAAAAGAGAAGTGCCAAGAAATAAAGAATCGGTTTTGTGGGAAGAGAAGGCCATCACTGACAGAGGAGATCGAAGTTGCCAAAGCAATCATCCTGGACAGTGAAATGCTAAAGTATGAATTTCCAGCTGCTGTTGTCGAGGAAGTAAGTTTCTCCCTCGTGGAGCATATCCCATAAATAGGCTTATGAGGATGTGCCACTGGATGGGGCCACATTTTCACAAATGGAATAACTATAATTATATTGTATTTTAAATGGGGTTATTAGAATGGGGTCGCGCATTCTTCGGGATTTTGGTGATAAGTAAAATCTCGATTGGGTTTATAAGGATTAAAAAAAGGGAAGGTATATTAGATATTCAGTACTGACCAAGGGCGATATCAAGATAGCTTGATAATCGCTCAGAGAATGAAGTTTGAAAAGAAAAATAAAATAAGTATCGAGCCCAGTTATGGCAAAATATATTGATCCACAAGTGTTTTGCGGATAACAATTCATGCCTTGATTCGTGGATAAGGTATTGACATTAAAGGAGAGGGAAGTAGTACATTATTGACCAAAACGAACTAATTTCATTCCCGGCCATCGATATCTATTTCTTAGACTTTTCTTTCCAGATAGTCCATTTTACAATTGCGTACTTGGTTGCCAAGCCTTTGAACTGGGGTGAGACGGAGTGACCTAGTTTGAATTTGTTTGGGGTGCACCCACCAGAAGGCTGGTTTGGCCAGCCGAAATATAGTGCTCCGTCTTAAAACTTATCTTACCTTGCAAATTGGGTAGTGATCGCTTAGTCCGTAAACTGGAACAATAACTTCGCTGATTCTATCTTTATGTGTTGTGTATAGATGATCTAATAAGAAGATGTATTCTTGTATTCTCGCGTTGCCGTGTTTGGTAATTACTTCAAGCCCGCATCACGGAATATCTTGATGAGCTTGCAGTTTGCATTCGTTGCATCAAGAATATTTATGTTGAAGTCGCTGGTTACTATAATTTCATTCCAGTGACAAGAGGCTGATTCAATAATCTGTGTGATTTGATCAAATCGCTTCGACGTTGAGTTGGGAGGGCGGTACAAAACAATAAATAGAGATTTTGCTCCAACAGCGTGTTGTTTTACTTCCATGTATACATATTCAGCGTTTGATTCTTTGTCGAGAAGATGAATATTCGTCGACATATAAGTGAGTTTTTTATATAAATCGCTACTCCACTCCTTTAGCATCGTTCCTGTCATAACGGTAAAATGTGTAGTTGTCAAGTGCAAGTTCATGATCAGTCCAGGTGGAATTGAGCCAAGTTTCACTCATTGCAAACAGATGGAAGTCATTCATGAGCATTAGCATTTTGATTTCTTCAAAATGGCTAGGAAGGGAACGCACGTTTAGATGGCAAAATTTCAGACCCTCTTCCTTCAGTTGGAAACAAGGATGCTTGGTTCCATATGCATGTTCGGTTTCAAGTCTCTTCCATCAGGGCAAGGGTGGCCTGAAATGTCACTGCATAATAGGAGAAGACCAGCAACATAGCCGTTGACGTTGTTAAATTTGCGGGTTGTTTGTTTGCGAAGCTTCAGATCTTTTACGATGCTATATGTTGGCTTGAAAAGCCTCGAAGCTGATACATAAAAATTCTCAGTTAGCCTTCGAGCAGGATTGTGATTGTTGCTCATAGTTTGATGGCACTGAGTTAAATAGCAGCAGCTGAAATAAAGCCGCTAAAACCACCAAGGCGACGGAGCAACAGTCGGAGCATCTTACCACTATACTGATAACTAGTACTAATCTCCAGGCACTTGAAGCAAACAGTAGAATCAATTTAGGGCAAGTAAATGCTCCGATTTTTCTGCAGAAATGTTCTGTCCTGAGAGGCGAAGAATTTTGCTGTTTCAGGACTGAAGCTTAAGTAGCTTCAGACAATAGTGTCTAAGAGAAATAGAGAAGTGTTTTTTATTTGATAATAGTAATAATGATAATGATGGGCCGGCTTTATTCAGCATTTTCACAAGGGGGGCTTTTCATCCAGTTAAAAAATACATCTGCCAAAAATACAAATGAGTTGCGTATTTATCACTCTTCAACAGTTTATAATTTAACTCTGATACTTTAAGTCCCACAAGACAGAATTTCTCCTCAGGGCTGATTTACACGGTACAACTTTATTGCATGCAACAAACTTACGGCAGGCCAGTGGCTTAAAGAGGCCATGCTGAATACTGATTACATTGTACAACATCTTAGTGTTAACATGATGATGCTTCAACATATTTCTTTTTCTTTCAATCTGGCTTTATTAAGGCAGGGCTCGAAATTAAAGAAAATTCCAAGTCGTCTTTTGGCGACTATCAGAGAAAAAATGGTCGGCAGGTGCAAAAGTGCAGTCGCCAGATAGTACAAGAATAGAAATCAGATTAGAGCTTTATTCAATTGGCGTTGTTGTTCGGCTTCTGGTGGATTGTGGCTGCGATTGTGGGGTAGACCGAAATACTCGATCTTGAATGACTTAAAACATGAAAACACAAAAGAAGAAACTCCGAAAGACTTTTGCATGACAATCTTACCTTAAGCAGTAAGCGAAAAAAGTAATAAGAACATTTCAGGGCTACTTTAGCAAGGAAAATATGTCACATCGCATGCAAGAAATCGTACGATACGAAGGCATCAAACATTTATCAAACATGGCGGATAGGCATTTAGTACCAGACCTCCTGTTCTCAACGGATTAATTTTAAATTCAGAAGCTTTTCAACAAAATATTGCGCCCGCGATCACCATGAAGAAGCCACTGTAATATGTCGTCTCGGAAGACGCAATTTGAAAGCCATTTCAAGTTTTAGCTTAAAGGTAAACAGACTTAATTTGCATTTCCTTCGGCAGAAAAGCAGAAACGCAGAAACGAGACTTAAGAAATTTTTCTCATCTACAATCTTTTATTTATCAGAGGAAGTTAGTTTAGTCGCCAAAGTGGCGACTAAACTCGA